TCTTAAACACAGTCGATGAGCGCACAACAAATGATGTTGAGTGTGTGATAAAATTTTAGTTTCGTCAACACCAAGTACAAATGGCAAGGTTGGCGACAGCAAGAATGGACAGAGGAGAAAACGAAGTTTCTAAAGCCGGTTTGGTAGAGGTTCTTTGGGAAACCAGCTCCGTTGTCAGAACAACGTTAGTAGTCTTTTGTATGCGTAGGTAGTCCAGCCGTTTAATTACGAAAGACCTCTGTAAAGTGAGCCCAACCGTGATGCACCGGCCCTGATGTTAAGGCGAATGCCTCAAACAGTGTCGTACTACTATCCATTCCAAAATACAAGAGCGTGGGTCATTTCGAGAAATCGTGATTGTTCGCATCAAGTATACTTTTCATATCATCTTGCAGTGGTCTTTTATTTTAGAAATTAAGAGTTCTCAATATGCAACAACATTCTCAATTTGGCAAAATTTTATATCTGCAGAATTCTCAAATTCTCAACATAACTTCTCGGTTAAACAATAAAATTCTAGATTTGCAAAAATTTGGATTTGGAGAAATGCTCCAGTTCTCAATGCATTACAAAATACAACAAAACTCGCCAGCCTTGTTATTTGAACGGGCACAACGTATTGTCCGATGACCATAAAACATGATAAACTGTCGGCTACAAAGGATGTACCATATCTGTCAAGAAACGCTTTAGTTTATACCGTATGACGCTCTTTCACGCGTACTAAGTCACAATATAATTTATCGTCAATAAGCCATCTATAGAAAGTGTATACCATCGCTATATTAAACGTGACGTCAGAATACATGGGATTCATAGCGAAACAATCATCGCCAAAGCCAATATCTCTCTTAGTTGATACAATAATTCTATTGTTTATATCGGTAGTCGGCCATATTGTTTATACCTACATAAAGCATGATATGATCTTCAGGTTTGACTCATCTGATACGAGTGTAGTAACGAGTATGTGCAATGAAGCGCATCTTTATGTGTACTAGAAGCGATAAAACAGAAAAGAGAAACATCGTTTAAGAGCGCATGTTGCAATTATAGTATTAAGGGTTCATCTTTGTCTTATACATGCGAAAACTTCCGCAGCTGACAGTCTCTTATTCCTGAAATACAATCTTTTCATGGTTTATTTATGCTGCTAATCATCAATTTAATGGTAGGGAAGCAGAGCCTCCCAGGTCAATCAAAACTGATATCCGTTACGGACCGCGTACTCGACGCAGGAATACGGACCGTAACATCATTAAAATAGAGCCGTATATGGCCGTATTTTCACAGTATACGAACTCATAATACTGTGCCCAGAAACGGGGCCGTTTACGCAGCCGTATATTGTGAAAACACGGCCATATACGGCTCTATTTTAATGATGTTACGGTCCGTATTCCTGCGTCGAGTAGGCGGTCCGTATATGGACCGTATCGTTCGACCTGGGCCCGTAAGCTGCATTCAGAATTTTGTGAACGAAGCGAATCGGATCCCAAATAGAAACTTATTCGAATCTGACTAAGATCTTAGTAAGATTTCGCTTACACTTATCTAAGATCTTAGACAAATCTTACTAGGATCGTGAGCATGTTGAGATTTGATAAGATTTTACTAAGATCTTGGCAAAATCTTACTAAGATTATTGTCTAAGATTTTTTCAAGATTGGGTAAGAATCTGTTAGGATCTTAATAATAAGATCGATGACATTTTTTTATAACATTCATTCACGATTCACTAAGGATTTCGGACTATCTAGCCTACACTGTTCAACATATCACTTGAACAGATTTGAGGATCCGAAAGATTTTTTGAAGTGAAAAAGCACAATTTTTTTCCCGACACTCTGAAATTTCACAATGGAAGGCTGACCTTTGACGATCATAAACAGCTTTTTGTGCTCTATAAAATAGCTGATCCAAAAAACCAACTTGATTTTTCGATTGGTTTTCTAGAAAACAGCTTTCTGGAAAACCGATCACCAACAGCTAGCAAACCCAAAAAAGTTTAAATTTTGCTATTAATATATGTGCGAAAGGCTTGCTTCTTACTAGAATAGAATAGTAATACGCTGTATATCTTGGTCAAAGAGTAGATGTACTCTCCTCATTCTTGGTCTAAAATCACGCCACATTTTCTTAGACGATGTTCGGGGCACTTGTAACGATTACTGTAAACATTGTTTACTTATACATCGTTCGAATGTAGATATGAATCTGTTCCGTAAACAATTTCGTCGATATATATTTTACATAAACTCGGTTAATTTAAAAACTCGTCGTCGTCTAAAGCGCTTACTCGTACTTATTAGTGCTTTTATAATCGTTGTTTTATTAATGCATCAAAAGCGATCGAAATCATCGTCAGATAAAGTATTTCAAGCAGTCGATTCTACCGCACCATCGGCATTAGTTCAACAAGCTCGAAAACCGAGTGTGGTTAATATTCTCCGGTTTACAAATCCAGCACATTTAGTATTGAATACGTTTGAAGCACCATTTGTACCAATTATTGTGTTATCAAAAGCAGTTAATGTTGAAGTACGTGATGCTATTCGACGCACATGGGGTTTTGAAAGACTGTACAATGATACATTATTAAAAACATTTTTTCTTGTTGGTACTGATGATTTTATGACTCACCGTCTTGAAATGGAGCAACTTGTATTTGATGACATTATTCAAGTGTCAATACCGGATATATCCACGTTTTCTGCTTACAAAGAATTGGCTGCGATGTATTGGGTAAAAATGTATTTACCAATGGTTGAATACTATGTTAAAACAGAAGAAGATACAATCATAAATACATCAGTATTTGTTAATATACTATTACCACATGTTCATTCACAAGAACAAGTTATTTACGGTTGGTTTGGCAATGATCATGTTGCTAAACGTAATCCTGATTATCAAAAATTTGTTGACGCCGTTGTGCCACCCACTTCTGATTTATTATTTGCCATGAATTTATGTTACATTGTTACAGCAATATCGTTCAATGCTATGTTAGACACATTAAGAACCATTGAAGTTATCGAGTATCCCGGTGATCCGTTTATAACGGGGATATTGCGTGATGCTGCCAAAGTAAGAGTATTCAATTTGGCTAACGATCGTCGATACCGGTATGAAATGGTGAATGGAAAATGTAAGGATGCGTTTATGACACAGCCAAACTTAATATTATGTACATCGTCATTACATGTGGGATCATCAAGATCAATGTCAGAATATTTTGAAACGTGGGAAGTAATTATTAATCAAACAAAGTTATTTGATTAAGTAAAAATAGAAAGTTCTTGTTAGTCAGATTTCCATTAGAATATACGCTCTTAACTATGATTTTCTGGCAAAAACGAAGACATCTCTTCTTTTGAACTAACTATCACGAAGAAATCGACTCTATCGGTTGTGAAGTACTCTGAAATCAGCATTGTCCAGTTCAATTAAATCTCAGAATGATCATATGAACCATTGAGTTGCCATCGCATCATTGACATTCGTTGTACTAAAAAATTATAGTATTTTATCCTACTCCACCAATATGACTCATCAGTTTTTTGTTTTATTTAACCGTCTTCGTTAGTACATAAAAAAAGTTTATATCGCAGATTGGTATTAAGTTATAGTTCCTGAAATATAAACAAGCTTGGTTTTATGGTCAGGGTTGATCATTCTAGGCATAAGCCGATTTTATGACGCGTTTCTTTACTAGCATGTATATATGTAAAGATAGGATGAACTGAATAGAAATGTGTTTCATTTCAGCCGCCCTCCCCTCCCCGCCGCGTCAAACATCTATCTGGGCAACCACGAGTCTGGTCTGAGAGATAATTTCAGGAAATGTTGAGGAATAGTTACGGTATAATTTTGGCAGATTTCGCCTTTTAGAAACCAGCTGAAGAACTCGGGTTGGTTTTGAAATATCAGATGAAGTTACTGTAAGAACGAAAAAGAATCGGATTTTTTAATTTTTTCTTTATGTCGGCCTGTCCACCGAAGTTTACTACCGCAAGTGGGATTCCGCCACGGTTTTTTATTAAATTGAAATGGTGATAACTTTTTAACAAAAAACAGTAGACACTCGAGGAACGTTTCATTGAAAAGAAGAGACGAAGCTCTTTAAAACTGGACTCAAGCGAATTCTTTAAAAACTTTTGTTGAGGCAAAAAATTTAAAAGAGTTTCGACGTCTTTTGACTGCTTGTAACTACTTCTGTGTTCAGTTTGTGTGATTATTTTCAACATGGCTGAGAGTAATAATGATCCGGCTGAAAATCGTTATGAAAAATTAAAAAGAAAGTACAAAACACTAAAAGAAGAAATGGAAAAAATGCAAACAGAGCGTGATCAATTAGTGATGCTCAATCAGTGCTACGTATGTGTTTTTTCTTTCTTCCGACATCATGTACTTTATTCTGACTGAAATTTTACAGCGATGCCAACCGATGACACAGTTTACACGTGGATGAAAGCTTGTGTAAAACTTCGAGAAAAAGCGGACAAGAACTCAGCAGGAGCTGTATGCTTTATACTCACTTCTGTTGAATGTTTTCGTCAGGACGATTTCAGGTGCTTTTACTATAGGCTTTATCAGTGTCTGCTGCTGATTTGGCAAAGTACGATCGGATAACACCCACATCATTGATTCGTGCGTTAACTGTTAGATGCTTTCCTAATGAGTATAACACAGTGACATCGGTTAGAGGTCTTGATCAAACACGTGTTAGTGGAATGATGGGTATGTTTAATCAGAATATGATAAAAAATTATCTTTTTCGAGTTATCTCTCTTTTCAGCATTAGTCAGTTTCCTTTGATTCAAATAAAACGGACGGATTTGAAAAAACCTATTATAAATTGTTTAGTTTACCATCGTTTGAAACGATTAAAAACGTTAGAATTGGAGCGAGCCAAAGCTGCTATTACAGGTGCTACTGATCCGTCAATCATACCCTTATAAGAAAAACATTGTACAAGGTATCGTGTTTCTTTTCAAAGGCATGTCTGATTCATGTCTAATAATAATAAAACCGTTCGTATCAGACTTCAACTACATAACAAAAGCAGAAGGACGGTGCACATCCTACAAAGAAATGAAAAAAATTCGCACATTGTTCATTTGTGTTAGTCTACCACTTCATTTCTATCCCCATCAATGTTCTTCTTTAGTTTCTGTAAACATACACACACATAGTAGAAGCGCGAGATGGTATTTCTTTCGAGAGGACTTTTATGAAATTTTTTTTGAAACTTATTTTAAAAATCTTTCATCTTTATTGGTC